TAATTATAAATAGCGAATTCTAAGGCAACGCAAATATTAAGGTTAAGAGGCTGAGCTCGTAGATGATGATAAATAACATAGTTAGGTATAATATATTACATTTCTGACTGTATATCCCTGTAATTATTACACACTGTAGCTTTAAATGTATCCCTTTATTTTATCCCTTAAGCTTATACCTTAAATTCATCCCTTAAGTTTATTCCTTAAGTCTATCCCTTTAATTTATACCTTTAGTTTTGTATGAAAAAAACACTTTAAACTACCACAATGGCTGTGTATCCCCTTACTCATTTACAAAAGAACATTTTAATAACTTACTTTTTGGTGTTTTTTAAGTGTATGGCGATCTGACCTTAATTTTTATTTTATTTTTTTGTACATGAATAAAGGGATACACACCTGTCGAGGTAGTTTAAAGTATATTTTTCATACAAAAATAAAGGGATAAATGCAAATCTGATGTTTTGCGCATGCATATGCTGATCTGACGGGGTATGCTCATCTGACAGAACACCGGCTCTAAAGTAGAGGTGGCTGTTCAGAAAACCAAACAACATATCAGAACAAACACTTCATCACAGAGAATTTATTATGCAGACTTGTTTCACAGCCACAGAACATGCAAACTTCTGAGACTTGGTCCAGAGTGGAGCATCATCAAAAAATAGTCCAAAACACAGCAGCAGAGCTACGGTGGGATGAAACAGGACAGATATAGGATGTTGCTATGGTCTAATCAAAGATGGCTGCTGGATGAGGTGCAGGACTTTGTTTGGTTGTGTAATAAAATAACTTCTCTCTGCAGTAACTCCTCCTGTTCCTGATATAAAGGTGACGACAGCAGGTGACGCTCTCCTGGTGTCGGTCAGGAAGTTTCCTCTGACAGCCATCACCAAGGTGGTGGTGTGGAAGAAAGACGGAGAGCAGCAGGTTGTTTCTCAACTTCAAAGTTTATCAAATTATGCTCAGTTGTTATGCTCCCTTTTTTACCTTATGAATCCTGACTTTAAAGGTACACTATGCAACCG